AGTCCATATGTCTTCAAGTTGCCAAGGTTGAGAAACACTGGACTAAAATCACCTATCTCTAGAAAGCCTGCAGTGGGGCAAGAAGTAAACTTTGCACATATATTTATGTCTAGTACACGTGTAAGCCTGTGTGTGCTAAGTAACATTACTATCACATAGGGCAGGGGTTTTCAAATTTGTTCAGGCCAGAGAACCTGTTACAATAGTTAAATAAATCCCAGAGCCCTTGAAAAAGTGATAAAGCTTTAAGTGATAGAGAATTGGCTGTGTTTGAGTGAACTTTTCTTTTTTACTTAGTCTCTCATGGAATGCTCGGATTTTACAGAACCCAGTTTGAAAAACCCTGAAATGGGGAACTACAATGATTTTTATGGTAACAGGTACATTCTGAAGCCTTTTCTAAGGAAGCGAGAATTATTAAATACTGAATTGCTATCTACCTAACTGCTGCTTTTATTTATAAATGTAAAATCTACTGGAACTGAATACAGTACTTTTCTATCATTGGAGAGCACAACCATGGACTTTGCACTAAATCTTAAATGAGAGCAACTGATTAATTTGTCTTTTGGGGGGAAATAGAGTGAAATCATGCGGTACTTTTGTTATAGTGTAAGCCTACGTCATCAAATACAGTACTTACAAAAACGCAGAAGTGACAGCGATGACCACGAGGAAAAGGACATCCAATATCCTTGACGCTGTCACTTTATTAAGTCAAAGTTTACAAAATAGTTTTAAGTTCTGGCTATTTCCAGAGCTGTTCACCATAAGTGTTGAACATTCAGAAAAAACAAGGGGGCAGATAGGACATGGAGTTCAAACCACGCCTGAACCAAATTATAATCCGATTTGTAGGATTATATTGAACATACGCAAACTCGGTCTCGGCCCTGGCTGCGCAAAGCATCTTTTTATAGAAATGTTTAGATTGCACTTTTTTTAAGCTGCCCCCATACCTTGAAAAACAAATGGTGAAAGTTTATTTTTTGAAAGTTAACCCTAAGCGAATCCTTCTAATACGTATTTGGAGGGTGCGCGAGGAAGGACGCGCTGCAGTTCGAGCCGCGCGTTCTCTTGCTGGCAAGTGACCTCTGCCAGCTGAGCGCCCGGGCAAGAAAACAGAATCTCGCGAAGCGAGCCGGCTGCGCAGAGCCACCAGATCCGCCGAGCCGCCGCAGGGAGGAGGACTGAATCACCCCCCCGACCACCCCCGTCTTGGCTAAAGGCAAGCGGGAGGAGCGCGGTGGAAGCCCGGCCCTCCAGCACCGCGCTGGATTTGTCAGCGCCGGCCCGCCCAGCGCCGCCTGCCGCTCGGCCAGCTCCGCCGCCGCCGCCTCTTCCTCCCCCTCTCCCTCTGCAGAAGAGCGCGGCTGGCCATGGCTTTCGCGACCCGGCCCTTCGTGCGCCTGGCGTCCACCGCAGCCGCCAAGAAGCTGGTGATCAAGCACGTGACGGTGGTCGGGGCCGGCCTGATGGGCTCCGGGATCGCGCAGGTGAGCTGGCGAACACAGCCGCCCGCGCTCCGACGCGGGGAATAAGGGGCGGCGGCCGGAGCAGCCCTGCTCGGGGCTCCTCTGGCCCTCCGCCGCCCGGGAAATCTGCTGCTCGCCGCGTTTTGATCCCGAGCGCTGGGCGAGCCGCCGGAAGAGTCGCCAATAAGTGCCTTTGATTAATAGTGGAGCGGAGGGTGATCTCAGGCTGTGGCAATAAGTGGGGGGGGGGTGTCAAAACTGCTGGCAAAGGAGGGCTCCGACAGCCTCCCTCCACCGCCCGGGAATTCACTCCGGGAATTCCCGCTTAGCATGGCTGAGAATGGTAGTTCCTGTCCAGCATGCTGGGAGTCGTAGCCTACTGTACTATAACTAGAAGGTTCTAGGTCAGTGTTTCTCAGCCTTGGCAACTTGTAGAGGTGTGGACTTCAACTCCCAGAATTCCCCATGGCTGGCTGAGGGATTCTGGGAGTTGAAGTCCACCCATCTTAAAGTTGCTAAACACTGTTCCAGGTGTAGGAAAGTTAATCTGCCCTACGTAGATGAGATCCCATGCAGGTGGAACTGAAACGTAACTGCAGTAGTGGGAGTATTGTACACACTTGAGGGTGCGTGGTGCTCATTGTATGGTGAGGGAAGGCCCATAGTGGCAACAGATATATGTCTTCTTTCTGATAGGTTCCTTTGATAACCTTAGGAATTATAACTCAGAACTGAGCCCTAATAAACTTTCAGTTCAAAGTGAGTCTCATCCCAAGTTTTGTTTTTGTCAATAATGCCATTCCAGAATTTTTTTAATTGAAGAGGCATCAGAAAGAAGACTCTCTTATCCCAAAAGACATGGTAGTATGGTTTTGTTTATTTATTTGTTTAATTTACAGTATGTGGATGCT